GAAAAGAACTGGCTTGGAGGCAAAGTGGATACTTTAATTTTCAAAGAGAGTTGGCGCCAAGAAGCATAATTGCAAAACAGTTTTGGGAGTTATAACCACTCCAATTTACCTATAAATAGAAGCACGAAGATCAAAGGAAGGACATCAACAATTCAATCAACAACAAGCATTTCATTTCTTTTTAAGCTTTCTTAGTTTCCCTTGGCTTAGTAGCCAAGCGATAGGGTAGTTTCTCTTAGTATGTATTGAAGATCGTTCGTCATTTCCAACTGTATGATCATGGAGGTAACCTTTCCTTCAACTTATACAATTGTAGACCTGACTCTATCCTTTAATTAATGGAATGCATTTGTATCTTTTGTCATATGCTTATCTACTCGTTTATTCAAGCAATCTAACTTGTTTTACTTTCTTTGGGAAAACTTCCTTATTGTTTGTGTTACGTTAGCAAGCTGTAGGCGTCGCACAAAGTGCGCCTACGTGGAGCATAGGTTAATATGTTTGTCAATCATAGGAAGTTGAATATGACATATAATGATAGGGACAAAAAGTAGGGAGCCGCCAACAAGTGTTTAGGGAACTTATACACTGTTCATTGAACATTAAAGGCAACCACAAAAAGGGACAAACCGAAAGGCAACAACGATTTGATCCATGAAGGTTACACCCCATTCATAATCCATGAGATTACTAACTCCATAGTGGTCCTGAACCATAACTGGATATTCGGGGATGATAGTACGGATTAGTTATGAACCCAATGCCGCCCGTATTGGCCTCTACTCAATTCTTATAGCGACATGTACTTATTTGCAACCCCATACGTACAATATTCAATTCGCTCCAAACTAATTAATCTAAGTTGGTTGAATATTTAATGCACACATAAATCTAATTATTGTGACCACTTGAATTAAGCAATAAAATTACTGGGAACCTAAATCGGTTATTCAAATTATCTTATTAGGCGTGATTTTCAAATACATATTGCCAATTAAACATGCAATATAAGTGATCAAAACAAATAGAATAAATTAAAATAAATAAGCATCCATATTAATTATTGGAAGCAACTTGATAATTAAAGAAACGAATTAAAAACATCCTAAACAAGCTATTAAACAATCATTAATAAAATCATAGGCATGATACTAACAAGATTAATATAACGCCAAAACAAGATACCAATAATTAAAAATAACAATTCCTAAACATGATGCTCGCAAGAGTAAAAACTGTAGAATTAATTAAACATAAAGAATAATTAAATCTACTTACTTCAATTCGATTGTGAAACCTTACAACTACAACATGAATAAATTTTAGTAAACATCAATGAAATATATAAATCAAACAAACCAAATTAAATAATTAAAGAAAGAAAATTAAATTGTGTTTAGATTAAGACCCTTAGGGTTTATGATCAACCATTCATGCCGTGGGTGATGAGTGACATTTATGGAACTCATAGGGTAGTTTTCTTTATAGTTTTATGCTCGTTTTTAGCTTCTTATGTTGTGTTTTTATGAAATAATTCTTGCTTTGCGTGCTTGTGTGTTAGTTTAGAGAAATGCATGTTTTTATCGGTTTTATTATCCTTTTTATGCATTTCTTTGTTATTCTCTCGCTTTTCGTTTGGTTTGACTTGTTTTGTAGGTGGGTCGGGATTTTCCGAGGCTCAAATGTCGAGGAGGAAGCCCAACACGAGCTTCGGAAGTCAACAAAACCGAGTCTAGGAAGCTAGAGCATAAGCAAATGAAGTTATATTAGAAGTTAAGGCAAGTATGCTTGGGCAGGTTGCATGGGCAAGAACGCATGCCCAAGCATTGAAATAAGAAGGATCGTGTCTATGTTGGGCACGCAAAAGGAGCTCGGCCGAGTGATCCCCTCTTGCCCGAGCAACCCTCCGCACATAGCACTAGCCGCGCAAGCGCTCCAGCAAGCAACGACCATCAGCAGCAGCCCCGCACAAGCAGCAGCTCGGGCAGGGCACACAGGCTACTCGGCCAAGCTTGCCCGAGCCAAAATTGGGTTTTCTCGGCCAGGCAGCTTTGCTCGCCTAAGCAGATGAGCCTGCCCGAGCTGCCCTGTTTTGCGATTTTAGCTCGTTTTTACTCCTTTTCTCTTATATGTACGAACCTTCTATTATTGGGGGGACTTCATTTTAGCATTTTTAGAAAGATATTAGTGAGGCTAGTTAGAGATAGAAACTAGAGAGAGAAAGTGTAGATTTCAACATTTGATCTTCAATTCAATTCAATCTAAGCTTACTTTCCTTTTGATCTTCAAGTTTGTGAGATTTCTTTTTCTTCTTGCTTTCAATCATTACCTTTAAACTTTGTTTTTGATGAAATTTCAATTTGATTTTGCTTGTTTAAACTTGATTATCTTGATTGATTTAGTTTTGATTACATTTGCAATTATGATGATGATGATGATGATGATTAGCTTTGTTTTGTTTCTTCAATTCATAATGATTGATAGATTGTTGCTAATTTGGGGATTTTGATCAATAGATTGTTGTGATTAAATTGATTAATGGATTTGTGCATGTGTTTAGTTTGATAGGATTGATCAACCTATATTGCTCAACTTGATTGCATCGTTAATCCGAATGACATGACCACTTGATTTAGGATTTTCATTTATCATTTGGTTTGAATTATGATTCTACTAGTTTGTCTTTCATAGAGGAAATCTAGATTGACAATTAGTCTAGATAGTCTTTTGAACTCTTTGATTGAAAATGCCATTAGTCCTTGCAACACTCAATTGCTTCGCTTTACCCCCAATTTGGCAACTCTATCATGATTACATGTGGAACCTAATCCCTAGTATCTTTGTGATTGATTCTTTCTTGATTTCTTGCTTGCTTGATTAGTTTAGCTCACACTACATTCATACTTTGTTTTGAAGTAGCTTGACACGAAACTATAGTGATTTTCTACCCATTCTCCGTGGATCGACTTGGACTTACCCCTATACTTGGTGTAGGTTTGGATATATATTTGGTTGATTAGGTAAGCTAGCCTAACGACCCTAGTTTTCCCCTACGTCAAAATGGAGCCATTCTTGGGGATTGGCGTGGTTTGTTTGCTATAGTTTGTTGAGTTTACTTCATTTTTGTTTCAAAAACACAAAAAGAATTTTCTCTTTAGGCTATACTTGTAGCCGTGCTACTAATTGTTTGGTGGAGATTGTATGCATAGTGCACGTGATTGTTCTATTGTACCTTTTGATCCAAAGGTATAAAGGAAAATCTCTAGAAGAAGAGTTGCTAGACGTTCATTGAGTCCTACTCCGTTGATAGAAAAGATGCAACAAGAATTTTAACAAGAAAATATAAGTGATAATCCAAGAGTTTCTTTGAAGGAGTTAGGTATGCCGGGTGCTTATAAGTTTGAAAGTGGCATAGCTCCACCAATAACTCCCGCTAATGACTTTCAGATCCGACTGGCCATGATAACATTGATCGAGAGAAGGCAATTTAGTGGAGCTAAACATGAAAGCCCTCTAAATCATCTCAAAGAGTTTGAGAAGTATTGTAACACAATCAAAGTCAATGGTTTGAGCCAAGAGTTCATTCACTTGAAGATTTTTCCCTTTTTAATCATAGGAAGAGCTTTGGATTGGTTGGATAAGGAGGTGAAGCCAAATTCTTTGAGAACATAGGATGAGGTCACCAAGGAGTTCTTGTCTAGGTTTTACTCCCAAAAGAAGACGGCAGAAGCTAGAGCTCTTATCCAAAGCTTCAAGAAAAAGCCTAGTGAGAGCCTTTATGAAGCTTGGTAGAGATATAAGGAATACCAATGAGGATTCCCTCACCATGGAATTCTAACATATCAAAATCATCCATATCATTTATGGAGGTTTGAGTCCACAAGACAAGTCATGCTTAGATGCGAGGCCCGGTGGCCCTATCATGAATTGCACGGAAGAAGAGGTGGTGGAAATCATTAAGGACGTTGGTAGACACTATATGGATTGGCAAGATGGAGAGAAAAAATCTCAAATTAAAGGAAATGCGGTGTACTCCATCAACCATCTCAATGCCATCAACAATCTAACTTCTCAAGTCACCAATTTGGGCAGGGAGTTGACTTCCATTAAGGCTAAGTTGGAGAGTGCTACCTCTCAAGCTCTAATTCTTCCCTCCCAAATTAAGAGGAGAGGTACATTTTCTAACTCTGCTCCTCCTTTCTCTTCTAATAACATGCCTAGTGGATGTTTATTTTGTGATGTGTGTGGGTCTTATGACCATGACTCATCTTCTTTTCCTCATGCTTTCAATGATGCACGCAATGATTTTGATGGTTGTGAAAATGAGCAAGTGAATTTTGTGTTTAATGACCATAGACCTTGTTTTGATGATTAAAGGAACCAAGGCCAATAGGAATTACCATAACCAAGGTGGCAATTTTGACAATTATAACCAAGGTGGTGGTTATGGGAACCAAGGAAACCAAGGTTTTCGAGGTAATTATAACAACCAAGGTGGTAATTTTGACAATTATAACCAAGGTGGTGGTTATGGGAACCAAGGAAACCAAGGTTTTCGAGGTAATTATAACAACCAAGGTTATAGTGGCCAAAATCAAAATCAAGGTTATTATTATCAAAACCAAGGTTATGGCAACCATAATCAAGCTAGGGGTAATTGGAACAATCAAGGAAGGGGCAATTTTCAAAATAATCACAAAAAGGCCCTCCTCCCGGGTTTGTTCCAAAGACCTAAGCATAAAATGATAATTCCTTTGCACCAAATCCATCTTCTATGTCTACCTTGGAGGAAGTTGTTGCGAACCAAACCAATTTGCTTACTACATACATAGGCGTGAGTGACAACAAGTTCAACGAGATGATGACCCATGGCATGATGCTTGAGAACCAAATCACCCAACTAGCCAATGCTTTGAAAGACTATGCTAGTCCTTCTTCTCTACCTTCACAAGGTCTTGACCTAAAGAAACTTGTTTTTTTCTATCACCACTAGAAGTGGCATGGTCTTAGAGGAGTGTGTTTCTATGAGGAGTCAAGAGAAGGAGAGGGTGAGTGTTGGGGAGTGTTGTAGTGCTCTTATCCACAATAAATTACCCCCAAAGATGAAAGATCCGGGAAAATTTTCCACTCCTTGCATTATCAATGGAAAATTGTTCCAAAATGCTCTTTGTGATCTAGGTGCTAGTGTTAGCATCATGCCATACTCTATCTTCAAGAAGCTTAAGCTAGGTAAGCTACTTCCTACCACCATGACCCTTCAATTGGCCGACCGTTCCCTTAATTTCCCTAAGGGTAGGATTGAAGATGTCCCCCTCAAGATAGGTGAGTTTACAGTTCCCGTTAGTTTCATTGTGCTTGAGATTGCGGAAGATGACAATATACCTATCATTTTAGGGAGACCATTCTTAGCCACTTCGGGTGCTTTGATTGATGTGAAAGGTAGCACTATAACTTTGTGTGTTGGTAATGATAAGGCTAGTTTCAAGCTTAAGTTAATGCATAAGTCTCTATCTTACGTGCAAGGAATCATGTGTATCAATTCACTTCCTTTAAACGACAATGCTTACATGTTTGTGTCTTCTACTAACGACACTCTTGTAGCTTGTGATGATGCTCTTATAAGTGTTAATAGCAAGATGGTTAGTGAAGATGTCAAGGAGCTCTCAACGCTTAAGGATGAGTTTAAAATGCCTTCATGGTTTGAGCTTTCTTTGAAGGATGATGAGAATGGTTTTTCAAGTGTGAATGGTGCAGAGTTGCTAGCTCCTAAGAAGAAGAAATAGAGAAGGAGAAAGAGAATTTCAAAGAAGAAGAAGAAATTGAAGACCAATGTCTTTGGTTCAGTTCAAGCGTTTCCCCATGATAAGTCTTGTGATATATTGAGCCTAAGCTTGGAAATGATTTTGTTCTCTCCACCACTTTGGATAAGGCGGTCTTCTTTGAGCCTCTGTGATTTGGAGGAAGAGTCAAGCTAAGGACCTTAAAATAGCGCTTCTCGGGAGGCAACCCGGCCCTCTTACTTTTCTGTTTTCATTTTTATTTTACTCTATTTTTTCTTTTCTTTACTTGATTCTACCTTGAAGTTACTAACTCGTTTTTGTGTATAGTTTATTTTTCTTTTTGTTTCCCATCTTATCTTGTAGATCACGCTTGGCAATCTTGGTGATACGAGGTGGTGAGAGCTTCCTTTTGCTTCTTTTCTTTGCTATGCATGGATCGCTTGGTGAGATCTTTCCTATTTTCCCTTATTTTATTTTCTTGCTTGCATAATTTAGGTTTTAGAATAGGATCAGTTGAATGGTTCGAGGATCTTTGGCTATCAACACGTTGAGGGTGTTTGGGGCCATTGGCGATGTTGTCGAATGGCCATTATTTGTCAATTAGGATCTATGTGATTTTGCATGCACCTTTAAACTTTTCTTCTCTCTCCCTTTTTTTATTTCATTTCCTTCTTTATTTTTGGTTAAATTTGAAAATTCCAAAAAGATTTTTGTTTAAGGGAATGTTTTGCATATTGTGTTGTGGTTTCTCGTGTTATGGACATAATATAATTTTTACTTGTATTCTTGGATGTTTTCCTTCCTAAATGCTAACGGTGTGCACGATTTGAGAATATGCTTGGTTGAATCTAAGATAGAGTATGCTAAGGTAGTGTGTTAAGAACTTTTGGACCTTGAAGCCCTAGTCTACTTGTTTGTGGTAAGAAGGTGTTGCTTCCTATAGTGAATTTGAAATCAATAGTGAGTTTTTGCTACAACCATGTGAGGTTTCATTTTTTTTCTAGCCTTCTACATATCTTGTTTGAGCGGCACATGGTTCCTTGACTATCGCTTACTCTTATCTAGAACTTGTCTTTTATCTCCCGAGATCGCGACCGAACCATTTGGGAAGGACAAATGCATCTTTTCGGGGTGCTTTATTTTCTTTTCTAGGAAAGTTTTATATTTTTGGATTTTGGTTTACATTTTCCTTCTTGCAAGCCATTTGAGCCTTCTACTTTCTTTTCTAGCTACATTACAAGCCTTCATGCCATTTGTTTCATTTTCTTCCCATTGAGTTTTTGTGAAGCTAGTGGTCATAAGCTTGTTTGGTGATTTTAAGAGGAAAACTTTGGAAGTGTGTGCTTATTTTGTAAAGCAAGTATGTGTTGTATAAAAGTTTGTGAATAAAAGCAAATGCAAAATAGTAAAAGCCGTCCATAGTTAAAAGAGGCGTGGACAAAGCAATAAAGTGAAAAAAAAGCAAATGCTTTGAAAAAAATAAAATGAAAAGCACAAATATATTTTGATGCAGTTGTTGTTTCCCTAGTTTTAAGCATTGAGGACAATGCTCCATTTAAGCTTGGGGGAACCGTATCTACGGTTTTCGTATATATGTTTGTGACTTTGCTTTAAATAAGCTTGGGGGTGTTGGTATTTTTGTTTGGTGATAACTTGATTTTGGTGTTGAGAAATGGTCATTCTTATGCTTCACAATTAGGAATACCACCAAAAATCAAATTTTAGCCTACCTTGACCCTCTTTGCCCTTACATTATAAACCTCGAAGACCTTTTGACCCTTATGGTTGAGTCAAAAGTCAGTGGAGGGAGATAGGATTCAAGCCTATGGAGCGGGTTTGCATAGTCAAGATGTCGAGTAGCCTTAAATCTCATCATTTCCGGTTCCTTCGAGGAATCATTGAGATGCTCACTAGAGGTGGATTTGAAACTAGTAGGGAGAACGTGGTAAGATTGTTTGGGATAAAGGTGAATTGTGTTTCATTAGTTCTATACGCTTAGCATATTTTATGTTTCAATCAATCTTGGATATCTTGAAACGTGCATTCCCTTACTTGTTTAGAAAGATTTGCATCCATTTGTGCATGAACATTTGCAAAAGTCCATTTCATTAGCATGTGTTTTCCCTTTTCTTCTTTTTCATTTCATTTTCATGCTTTGCTTTGTCTTGAGAGTTCTGGGTTAAGCTCTTTAGGAAACCGTTACGAGAGCATCACTCGTCCTCTAGGGCAATCTAGGGGTTTAAACTGGCTTGTAACTAGCTAAAAGTTGACCGTGATTCCTACGTTAGTGAGTTAGTGTATATTCCCATCCCTTTTTCTCTCTTTTCTTTATTTGAATAAGCCCTTCATTTTCCTTGCTTGATTTTGTTTTGCTTGAGGACGAACAAAAGTTTATCTTGAGAGAATTTGATGAGTGTCATTTATATCACTCACAAGGTAGTTTTCTTCGTAGTTTTATGTTCGTTTTTAGCTTCTTATGTCGTGTTTTTATGAAATAAAGCTTTCTTTGCATGCTTGTGTGTTAGTTTAGAGAAATGCATGTTTAATCAGTTTTATTATCTTTTTGTGCATTTCTTTGCTATTTACCCGCTTTCCATTTGGTTTGACTTGTTTTGTAGGCGTGTCGGGATTTTCCGAGATTAAATGTCAAGGAGGAAGCCCAACACGAGCTTTGGAAGTCAACAAAATTGAGTTCGGGAAGCTAGAGCATAAGGAAATCAATTTAGAAGTTGAGGCAAGTTTGCTTAGGCAGGTTGCATGGGCAGGAACTCATGCCCAAGCATTGAAATAAGAAGGATCGCGTCTGTGCTGGGCACGCAAAAGGTGCTCGGCCGAGTGATTCCCTCTTGCCCGAGAAACCCTTCGCACATAGCACCAGCCACGCAAGCGCTCAAGCAAGCAAAGACCCTCACCCGTAGCCCCGCACAAGTAGCAGCTCGGGCAGGGCAAGTAGGTTGCTCGGCCAAGCTTGCTCGAGCCAAAAGTGGGTTTTCTCGGCTAGGTAGCTTTGCTCGCCCGAGGAGATGAGCCTATCCGAGTTGCCCTGTATTGCGATTTTTGCTCATTTTTACTCCTTTTCTCTTGTAACTATAAATATGTAAGGACCTTCTATTTTTGGGGAGACTTCATTTTAGCATTTTTAAAAAGATATTAGTGAGACTAATTAGAGAGAGAAACTAAAGAGAGAAAATGTAGATTTCAACATTTGATCATTAATTCAATTTAATCCAAGCTTTATTTCCTTTTAATCTTCAAGTTTGTAAGATTTCTTTTTCTTCTTGCTTTCAATCATTGCCTTTAAACTTTGCTGTTGATGGAATTTTAATTTGAATTTTCTTGTTTAAACTTGATTAGCTCAATTGATTTAGTTTTGATTACATTTGCAATTATGATGATGATGATGATTAGTTTTGTTTTGTTTCTTCAATTCATAACGATTAGTGAGTAGATTTCTTAGCTAGGGTGTTGGGGAATCATGTATGATTGATAGATTGTTGCTAATTTGGGGATTTTTATTAATAGATTGTTGTGATTAAATTGATTGATGGATTTTTGCATGTGTTTAGTTTGATAGGATTGATTAACCTAGATTGCTAAACTTGATTGCATTGTTAATCCTAATGACATGACCACTTGATTTAGGATTTTCATTTATCATTTGGTTTGAATTTTGATTCTTCTAGTTTGTCTTTCATAGAGGAAGCCTAGATTGGCAATTAGTCTAGATAGCCTTTTGAACTCTTTGATTGCAAATGCCATTAGTCCTTGTAACACTCCATTGCTTCGATTTACCCCCAATTTGACACCTCTATCATGATTACATGTGGAGCCTAATACCTAGCATTTTGTGATTGATTTTTTCTTGATTTCTTCCTTGCTTGATTAGTTTAGCTCACACTACATTCATACTTTGTTTCGAGGTAGCTTGACACGAAACTATAGTGATTGTCTACCCATTCTCCGTGGATCGATATGGATTTTACCTCTAACCTAGGTGTAGGTTTGGTTATAAATTTGTTTGACTAGGTAAGCTGCCTAACGACCCTAGTTTTCCCCTACGTGAGTGGACTACCAATAGAGTTTCGGGTGAAGTATTGATGTCTAGGAGAACTTAAAAGAGGAATTATGAAAGGTTTAGAAGAAAGAAAGATTAAGAGAATAAGAGTATTAGGAAGAAGATGAGCAGAAAACGGTGTCCGTAACCCATGAAAGGCCACATTATCTATAAAAAAATAGGCGGGAAAAAGATAAAAATTAAATCGCCTAAATCCGAATGACAATTGCGCCACCTCGAGATCATCGCGTGGCGATGATCTGCATCGCGCCACGATGCAATGCGTCGCGACACAATGCAACCTGGCTTGACGTGATGCAAACATCGCCACATGCCATATTTCATCTTTTTGAGTTTTATTGAAATTAGTCTTTGTACGTCCCGATTTATAAAAATTAATCTTTTTTAATACGATTTTGTACGCGTTTTGTCCTTTAGAAGTTTATTTCAAATTGAAATTACTTTATGATTTAGGTTATTTTTAGAAAATTGAGTTGGAAAATAAGAATAAGAATAAAAACAAGAATAAAGATTAAAACAAATGAATTGGGCTTAAGATTAAAATAAATGTGGGCTAGAAAAATTAAATTAAATGGATTTAAAAATAAAATTAAGTACTCCTTTATTCCAATACTAAACTCAAACCAAATGGCGATGAATGGCTTCCCTCATCATCAGATTTCGGCAGGAGAGGCATTTTTAGGTATTTACTGAAGCCCCCACTTTGATTGAGTTTTTAGAGACGTAAGTCTCGAAAATGAAAGTCAAAGTAATCGACAGGGACGGAGAATGATTTAAAGCGTTCTGCGATTTTGAACCCCTCTGTATGCCTCGATATCTGTAGAAAAGTGTTATTTCCACAGATAAAAGATCAAAGGGATAGAAATGCGTATCTGACACCAGTTCCTAGGCACAAAATATGTTGGTAGCTTCCCGCGCCTTGTGAAAT